CAGAGAGTGTACCAGCGTCCATCGTGGCTTCAACCTTGTCTTTAGAAGCTTCAGCTCTCCCAGAGAGGCCCCGACTACCCACCCTCCTTAACCTTCTCTTCTTCTTTTTAGATCTCTTAGTGTGAACATTGGCAGAGCTGACCTAGCTAGTCGAGCCACAATCTCAGCTACATTGGCATGTATCTTCTTAGCCTCCTCAGGGACCAAGTCAAAGTGAAGATGCTTCTATAGCCTTGCCAATGGCCCTCTTTGAGGTCGAACCGGGGGGATCGTCACAGATGTTTCGGGTTCCTCTGAGCGTAATGCCAGCACGGCTGATTGTGTTTTATCATCCTCAGTCAAAGGAACTAAAGAGATGCCGACAAGATGTAATATCGAGTTGTCGAAGAGGTTTTTGCTCTGACAGGAACCCATGTACAGCTTGATCTTGTCAAGCACTTGCTTCTCGTCGTTTGATAGCAGACTCAGTCTCAGTGCATCCTTATTGATCTCAGGCCATAAGGGGCAGACCAAGATAACGTTTGCCCCAAATACCCACACGAATCTCTCCTTTCAGTCATTGTTAGATTTGGGGGCATTAGAAGATTTTGTAGCCGCCCAAGACCTAGAGATATTAAAGGCCCTCTTGCTTATTCATCTTCATGTTGACAAGATGACCGAGAATTCTCAGCATCGGCTAGACCCCCAGTCAGTTGCAGATGACCACAAACCCCACCAAAGTAATGGAGTTCGGTTTCATCTACGATGGCGAAACTCCTAGCACTCCGAAGACGCGGTAGAGGAAAGGATGAAGTGGAAAACTAGGACGCACTCTAAATGTTTGAGGTATACCGGAGCAATGTTATCACCTTGACTGTAAACGGATTGACCTGTCTTCGGCGGCGACAGAGTGAATGCCCGAGGGATGCGAACTTGTCATAATAAGTCTCCAGCAGTGTTGACTGTACTTTGAATTGGAGTCTACGGAGGTGGTTGATCCGAGATTCATTTCGAGCCACTGAAGATGAAGATGCAATGGATTTGATGATTGCTGAAGAATAGTACGAGAGATGGTTGGAAATCGCTCAGACTATAGAAGAAAATTCGACGGTTTCAAGAGTAACTTTCCCCATCTGAGAGTAGTTGTATATATAGGCAACGAAGTCTTCATGTGGCGAAATCATAATAGTTGACTCCGTCATTGATAGACGGCTAGGAAGGCATCCGGAATTCGAGGCGATTACTCAAGAACCAAAGTGACCTTCGTTTTAACTGACCCCCAATCTTCGCTTAGGTGACTCCAGTGCATATTCTTCTCTAACGTTGGAAACATCGCATTAAAAGCGACCTATCAGTGATCCCTCATAAATGCACCTCGGAACCCCAAAAGGCGAGAGCTCAGTTTCACTTGGACTCGGTCACCTGAGTTCGAGCGAAAGGGACCACTTTTGTGCCATAGAAATAACCAAATGTACACGTGTCTCAAGCAAATTGAACATCGATTTGGCACACCTACATCTTGAAGGCCGAGATGTAAGGCATCCCTTCTCATCTCCCTCAAGGGCTGAGACGAAAAGTGTCATTTATCGACTCTCTCGCAAGGCCGAGACGAAAGGCAATTTGTTCTTGAATTCCCCGTCGACAGTTGATTACCATCACATTGAATGCATTGTCGAAGTTACCATTACTTCAATCCAAAAATCTTAATAACTCATTGGACCCCGTTAGCACCATGTTGACCTTGTCACCATCACATTAATCGCATAGGTGATTCATACTATCTGCAGTTAACAGCTGCAAAGTATCTGCCGACTAAGTTGCTTGTTTACACTCGACCAAAGTTACATAATTGGCCCATGGATCTACTATGAATAGGGGTATTGTCCCTTGCGTAAGGGTAAGCAATCTTTTGTAAATAAATACACTATAATCATTTTTTTTCCACTCAAGCTCACTATTGACTTGACCTTCAGAGCAACCACATCGCATCCCAACTCTGATCCTCTCACGTGTTGTTTGTGTGCAAGATTGAATTCTCTGCTCCATAACTAACCATCGAAGAATATCAAAGAACCCTATAACCGAACATAATCCACACTAAAAATTCCTGTTTGATAACTAACATCAACACCTCCAATTCGACTACATTAAGTTAAACACTCGCTAGAAATTTATGTTAAAGAATAGTTTTAGGATGTTTAAATTTTTTTGTTTGTTGTTTAGTTAACAATTGTCCTTCAATCATTCAAAAATTAACGATCCTGGGAGCATCTTCAACTTAATGTGTTAGAATTGGGGTAATTTGCCAAATATATTTTAGAATCAAGAATTAACAAATATGATTGATTTGGGCGCTATAGGATAAAAAGCCAATAAATAATAAGTATTATTTCATTAAAACGGAATAAAAAAAAAGGCCAACTTCAGCTCTCCACTCCTGCGAGCTCTAGAAACAAGGATGAATAATTTAATAAGAAAATCATGTAATGAATAAATGGCGAGATGAGACGCACATCAAATTTGTAGTTACTGGAAGAGAAAGGGGCAAAACCCTAGCTGGCTTGTCTGAGGTACGTACTCTCACTCAAAGCCTCTGTCTTGTTTTTATCTCAGTCTTTGTTTTCATTAGAGATGATCGGTTTGAGCTGCTCTCACTGTTGAGTTTTGTGAAACCGGCTCAAACCCGCTTCAAAAGTTGCTATTTTTACTAGTACCCATCTCTTCAAAATCTCGATTTGGGTGAGATTTAGCTGCTCTTCGTGATTTCTGGAAGTTTTTCTCCCCCTATAAAACTCTTAATTTCTTACCTAGGTTTGTGCCGTTATTTACTTAGTTGATACACTTTTAATGGTGGAAGAATATGAGAAAGGAAATAGAATGAAAAGGCATAAGTTAATTAATTAGTCCATTAATGAAACTTGTGCATGTCTTTTTTTTTCCAGTTGCTAGTATTTTGCCATGGAGAGGCATCAGTACCCAGATAGTACCCCAAACTCGTCCACTGAGAATGTAGGCTTAGATGTTAAGCCTTTAAGAACCTTGGCCCCAATGTTTCCATCAAGCTATGGCCTCAATGTGTTCTCTCAATCTCGCACATCGCCTTTCATTTACATATCCCCCTCTGATTACTCATCTTTACCTCCTGGCTTCACTCCCCCATTCCCCCCTTTTCAAGCTCCACAACCCGGAAATGCACGTCAACCTAATTCATACCCAAATGGCAATTCTTCGTTTCAAACTCCATCCGCTTCGGCCGCTGAAAAGAAAATGAAGAAACAAATTCATCTGGGTAGCAATTCTGTTACTGATGGTAGCAACAGTGGTTGTTCGATGAAGCCGCAGAAAAAGAAGTCCAGAAAAGCTCTGAACATAGATTCGGGTTTGGTGCCATCCCTTCTTGATCCTAGGGATTCTGTTGAAATCGTGCTTATGACTTTTGATGCACTAAGGAGGAGGCTTTCACAGTTAGATGATGGAAAAGAGGTGAAGAATCAACGCCCAGATTTGACAGCAGGGACTACATTGATGAGTAGCGACCTGAGGGCGAATAGGGCAAAGAGGATTGGTTCGGTCCCAGGAATTGAAATTGGAGACATCTTTTATTTTAGGATCGAATTATGTGTGGTTGGGTTGCATGCTCCTATAATGGCTGGGATTGATTATATGACTGCTCAGTTTGAGAATGGCGACGATACTGTGGCTGTTAGTGTTGTGTCCTCTGGGGGTTATGAGAATGAAGAGACCAATACTGATGCTTTGATTTATAGTGGGCAGGGAGGTAATGCAAATGTTGATCAAAAGCTCCAAAGGGGAAATCTTGCACTTGAGAGAAGCTTGCATAGGGGAAATGTGGTTAGAGTTGTTCGAAGTGCAAGAGATTATAGCGTGCCAAATGGCAAGATTTACTTCTATGATGGTCTCTATAAGGTTGAGAGCTCATGGGTTGAGAAAGGAAAATCAGGTTTCAATGTTTTCAAATTCAAGTTGTTGCGGGAGCCAGAGCAGCCACCGGGACTTGCGATATGGAAAATGACACAGCAATGGAAAGATAATCCCACATCAAGAGGCAGGATTATTTTGCCTGATATATCCTCCGGTGCTGAAAATGTACCTGTTTGCCTTGTTAATGAAGTTGATGATGAGAAGGGACCGACCCATTTCAGGTACAGCACTACAGTTGAGTATTTGAGGCCTCTTAACTCCATGAAACCTTTGGAGATCTGTAGGTGTGCTAGTGTGTGCCTCCCTGGTGATGTCCATTGCACTTGTGCAAAATTAAATGGGGGCAACCTTCCCTATAGTTCAAATGGAACCCTAGTGAGCAGAAAACCTCTAATTTATGAATGCAACATGTCTTGTTGCTGCTCATCTAATTGCCGAAATAGAGTGACTCAAAGGGGTATTACACACAAACTTGAAGTTTTCAAGACAAGAGATAGGGGCTGGGGACTTCGATCCTGGGATCCTATTCGCACAGGTACTTTTATATGCGAATACACTGGAGAAGTTATTAACAAGATTAATTTAGAGGACGAGAATGCTGACAATGATGAGTATATCCTTCAGACAATTGGATTTGATGAAAAGGCATTCAAATGGAATTATGGGCCTGAGTTATTGGGGGAACCCAGTGCTGATTACTCAACCGAGAGTCTGGGGCCATTACCTATTTTCATAAGTGCAAAAAACATGGGCAACGTGTCTCGGTTTATGAACCATAGCTGCTCTCCTAATGTATTTTGGCAGCCTGTTTTGTATGATCATGGCGATGAAGGATATCCTCACATCATGTTCTTTGCAATGAAGCATATTCCTCCACTGACGGAGCTGACCTTTGATTATGGTATGGGTGGTGGTACTGGGTCTCGCAGGACAAGGAAGTGTTTATGTGGATCACCAAAATGCCGAGGACTTTTTGGCTAACTTGCAATATATATATGGAGTGCTATTTTGCTAATCCACTGTATGAAGGTCAGAAATTCTCATCATTTCTAGTTTTATTTCTAAATAAAATTACTGTTCATATGTCCTTCGATGATATAACTTGTAACCGTTGATGATTGTCGGGTATTATTTTTTGTGCCTCCTACTCCTAATAAGACTCATGCATTGTTGTTATATGCAATTATTTATTCAAAACTTTATCCAAAAAACATGTGGTAGTTGTATACTTGTATGTATGTTTTCATGGACATCGTGCATCAGTCTCCATGTGTGTAGACATGTCATGTACATCGCGTGTCAGTGTCCATGTATGTAGACGAGTGGTATCCTTCAACATTTAAACAAAACACTCAAAATCCACATGAGATAACAGGGTATATGCTGTCAGCACATGTACCATTTCTGCTAAGACTCTTGATAAATGAATGGTTGGATACATTGTAGTTATCATCTCTCCAACACTTATGGATGAAAAAGGTATATGGTTTAGAGATTTTTGCCTTCATATGTTAAAATATTCCTATGTAATTATCAAGTTTACAATCACTTGATCCACAGGCGAAAGGCTTTGAATTTCATGATTCTCATGCAAACATTTTCGGGCATGTAGATCACCATTTGGATTGTCTATCATGTTTGGATTTGCATCCAGGATAAGGTGGTGTGATTTTAATCGTAATCAAATTTGAATCTAGCTTTTTTTCCTGACTAATTTTGGGTACGTACTGTGGATAACCGATTCATATGTTTGTTATCTCTGCTCATGTTTTGGCTTGATATTACTGATAAAATGCGAATACTTAATTCTTCTTGGTCTTTTGCAGGTTTTGGTTTTTTTGTACCTGTTGTATACAACATGAGGTGACAGTTTGTAGATGTTGTTTGCTTATATACAGACCGTAAGCACAAACTTGGCCATTTTGTACTAAACTATGTTAGACTGAACTTTAGGACTAAACGAAGTAGATTTGTTCTTAGTAATGTTGACGTTCTTGCTGATGCTCGAAATCACCGTGATTTGCTGCAATTTTGAACTATGCAAGTTTTGAAATAAGGTTGTGCATTGTCTTTTGAAATATTATCTACTCTGCCCTTTAAGTTTTGTACAGATGAAAATAGTGAAATCGGCAGCCGCATCTCCCTTATTCCATATAATGTTAAATGTTGTCTCTGCTATGAAGGTACGAAGTTCATATTGGTCCCTTTTGAGTATATTTCAAGTGTTTATATTTCATTTTCTTACATGCCGTCTTCTTGATTCGTACAACGTATAACTAGTTCTATCGGCTCTAATTAGACTTTTAAGGGCCAGTTGGATGTTGATGGGCTTATAATATGTTGCTTATAAGAGTAATTTATAGAAATAGCTTGTACAAGTTGTTGAAAATAGTTGTTTGGTAATTAAATATTAAGAACTACTTAAAAAGTAGTTAAGATATTTGGTAGAACTGTGTTTAATGATCATTGTTAAAAGATAAAAGGTATATATAGTATATAGTAAAAAATGAGCATAAGTTACCTTTAAGGGCTGTTTGTTTGCTAAAAAAAATGAGAAAACCACCCCTCGTCACGTCAGATTTTAAGAAATCCCCCCTGTCACGTAGGATTTTGGTTTCAAACGATTTTTAAATTACATGTTTGTTTCGTTTTGTGATTTAAAGAAATAAAGGTGTCACGTAGGATGTCACGTAGGATTTTTGAGAAAAGTATTTTGACATCAAAAACCTCTGAAAACACTTTGAAATGTCATTTCAATGAATTTTTAATTACTAAAAGCACTGTTAAAACAGTGACTGTGAATAAAACAAAGTATTTAATTGCTGAAAACATTGTTACTATTGTGGCTGATTTTCATTTCCTTTTTTATGTTCAAACAAACACAAGAAATGAAAATTGAAATATTGTTACTATTGCGGTTGGATTTGTTTCTTATGTGATGTGGCGGTGACGTGACGGTGATTTCATTCCGAAAAAAAAAATACGAAAAATGTCTTGAATTCTCTTGAAATGAGTTGAAATGTAAGTTTTGCATTTCCCATTTTTTTTAGAAAACAACCAAACAACCCCTTAAAAGCATTATCGTATTATTTCTAAAAATATTCTCGTATTAAAAGCATTCTCGTATTATTGGTCAGTAGCGGCTGGACCCGCTGTCTCTGGTTCGCGTCTCGCCCGGTCCACACAACGCCCGCCCACGTGCTGGGAATGAGTCCTCTGGTACTTAAGAGGTAGCTCCTTGCGGATTGTTGGGGAATGGGGGGATTCGAACCGGGGTGCGGCAGACTCCAAATGGAGTTTAAGTGGAGGTGCTGACCAAGGTTCCCTTGTAAAAAAAAAAAAAAAAAATTCTCTTAAAAAGAGAATCAGTAAGCACGTCAAAAAAATTCATCAAATATTATTATTGATTACTACTTATTGAGAAAATAAGCAGAACTTAAAAAAAAAAACAATATCAAATTGGCCCAAAGTCCTTTGCTTTTCATTTATTTCTTTTCTTTTTCATTTGGCCAAATTTATCTTCTGTCACATGCGTCTTGTTAATTAAATTTCAGCTTAATGCTACGTTGATGGTTTGTCAAAAGGCATAACATTTATCGTTTCAAATGTCTATTTCAGTTGTTCATAAAATAAAACACATTCATTCTTCTGTAAACGATCATATCACTTTTTTTATTAATAAATATAAGGTCTGAGCATTCAAGTACAAAATGAATCCAGCATTCAAGTATCATCCGGCGTGTTTTCTCCTCTTTTCAAACCGATTGGCCACTATACTGAATTTCTATGAGTTGTTGTCAGGTGGATTGATCTTGATTTCATTCTGGTCCCTAAAGTAATTTGATAATTTTGTTAGCTTTTTTATACAAAACCACCATTAAACATAGTAATTTTTCAGAGAACCGTCATGCATTTTTTAATTTTCATAGGTCCACCATAAAATATACTGGTTTTTGGAAAAACCATCACAAAATTTTATTTTTTTATAGAACCACCATGAAAACATGAATCTTTTACAAAGCCCCACCAAGTCATAGTTTACATCAAGTATTTTGTTAAATAATAGTATAAAATGACATAAATTCTCATTATGATAAAATTTCTGTGAGGATGAGTGGGGGTATTTGGAGGAAATGATTTTTTTAGGGAGTTAACAAAGTTTTAGAGGGAAATAAGTTTTTATTTTTTGGATAATGAGGCAATCAGGAATCGAACCCAAGATAGTATGTGTCATATTGGAACCTCTCAACCTTCTGGTTTATCAACGATACTCAAGTATTTTGTTGGTTTGAGAAAATATAATAGTCGGCTGGTGGGTCCCACCATGAGGGTATTAGTATATTTTTTAGTTCAACATGATATAGATGTAAAATTATAATTTGGTGGCACTTTGTTATGAATGCGTATTTTCATTATGGTTATGTGAAAATAAAACAATTTGTGAAGTTTCTCAAAAAAATCACTATATTTTGGTGTGGTTTTGTGAAAACAAAAAAATATGCGGTGGTTTTTCGAAAAGCCACTATATTTTGTGATGGTTTTGTATTAAAAAACCCTTGTTATGATGCTTCTTCAAATGTGATCGATGAAACTTTTATGACGACATGAATATCATTTACTTATATAACAATCCAAAGTAGGTTTTGTTAGATCTAATAAAAACTTGAGATCTAAACTTTAAAGCCATGATTAATTTAAAGAGATTAATAAGAATCAAAAGGTGCGGAAGAATATACCTGAATCCATTGAAGAAAACCTGATTAGGGTTTTGATGATCTTCTAACCTTAGGGTTTCTCTAACCAAATTTCTCTCTAGATGGAGGTGAAGAGAATTAGAGAATGTAACCCTAGATTAGGGACCATAACCCTTTATTTATAGGTGTTGTACATTTGTAATTTGGCCCCTCATCAAATTACAATTATAACCTGGTATCTGCACATATAACCACATGACTTATTTAAATACCCATTAACCCAAATTAATTGATCACTTTAGTGGGTTATCCTGAAGGATAGCAATACACACAGATTAATCATATGTGCCCACAAATAGATTTAATTAGATTTAAATCCAACAATCTCTCACTTGGGCACCATATGACTCCTTAAAGTGTGTATAACCTTATGAGCTCAAAATTGCTATCACTGAAAAAGGTATTTCCGAACAATCTCGTCCATTGACTATATCAATATAGGATCAAAGCGGCATTCGTCACATTTATTGTGACTCAACCCATCAATGGTCACATATACCAATACAATCAAACGACATAGATCAATCATGGATGTGCAGCATAAAAATTACATGCAATGTGATTAGTACATGTCTATTTTCAACTGGTCCTACTTTAGTGAGGTCAAAACCAAACATAATGTAACAGAGTGTTTGAATTGAAGAACTTTATTCTGATCAGACAATACAACCTAACATAAAGCACCACAATTACAAACTCCCACTAAATCATGATATCCTCGAATATCACCACACCCATATGAGCGGTGTTCTCATGAAAGACCTTGGGTGGCAATCCCTTAGTAAGAGGATCTACTATCATGGAGTTTGTCCCAATGTGCTCTATGGATATCTGTCCACTCTGTACCATTTCTTTCACAACCAGAAACTTAATGTCAATATGTTTTGACTTAGTTGAGCTCCTGTTGTTATTGGAATACATTAATGTAGATTTATTATCATAATATAACCTTAGTGGTCTTTCCATATTTTTCAGAATGCGCAGTCCCGTGATAAAATTTTGCAGCCATATTCCCTGATTTGATGCCTCATAGCAAGTTACAAACTTTGCTGCCATAGTGGAGGAAGCTACGAGTGTCTGTTTAACACTTTTTCATGATATAGCTCCTCCTGCTAACATATAAATGTAGTCTGATGTAGACTTTCTGTTATCTTGACATCCAGCAAAATCAGAATCAGAGTACCCGATGATCTCCAGTTGTTCTGATTTTCTGTATGTGAGCATATAATCTTTTGTTTTCTGAAGATACCTCATAACCCTTTTGACTGCTATCCAATAATCCATACCAGGGTTGCTTAAGTATCTGCCTAACATCCCAACAATGTACGTAATATCCGGACGCGTACATACCTGAGCATACATTAGACTTCCTACAGCCGAAGCATAATGAATCTTCTGTATTTTCTGAATTTTAAGGTTACATTTAGAGCATTGATTGAGACTAAACTTGTCTTCTTTAGCAACAGGGGTATCTCCTGGTCTGCATTCTTGCATGCCAAACCTTTTAAGTACTTTATCGATATAGCTCTTTTATGATAATCCAAGTATACCTCGAGAGTGATCTCGATGTATCTGGATTCCTAATATAAAAAAGGCGTCCCCAAGATCTTTCATCTCAAAATTCTTTGATAGAAATCTCTTGGTTTCGTACAACATGCCTATATCATTAGTGACAAGCAATATGTCATCGACATACAGAACCAGAAAAATATACTTACTCCCACTGAACTTGTGATATACACAGTTATCAACAATGTTCATCTCAAAATCAAACGAGATAACTATTTGTTGAAACTTATGATACCATTGACGAGGAGCTTGCTTGAGTCCATAGATGGATTTCCTTAATTGCAAACCATATTCTTCGGGTCTCCTGACACAAAATTTTCTAGTTGCACCATATAAATCATCTCATCAATGTCGCCATTGAGAAATACAGTCTTAACATCCATCTGATGTAACTCAAGATCATAATGAGCAATAAGTGTCATGATTGTTCTGAAAGAGTCTTTCGATGAAACCGGAGAGAAAGTCTCTGTATAATCGATGTCTTCCTTTTGAGTAAAGCCTTTAGCTACAAGACGTGCCTTATACCTCTCCACATTACTATTTGCATCCCGCTTGGTTTTAAAAATCCATTTACAACAAATTGGTTTTGCACCTTCTGGTAATGGGACAAGTTCCCAAATCTTATTGTCTTACATAGACTTGTACTCTTCATTCATGGCATCAATCCACTGTTGAGAGTTAGAAATTTTCATGGCTTGAGAGAAGTTGATTGGATCATCTTCTAACATTCCAT